CCGAGTGGAGTGCCAGGCTGGGCTGCGCGGGCTCTGCAAGCTGGGACTCCCTTGCAGCCAGGAGCTCCCCAGTCCAGGAGCACCAGCAGGCAGGTGGCACCTGGCAGGGAGCGGATGCCCGGGGGGGGGGGGAAAGCTGGAGAGGCAGCGTCAGGTAACCCCCTGCCCACTGGAACCCCCCTGCCCAAATACAGAGCCCCCCCGTCTAGAGGCCTGGCAGTCTCGGGGCAGGCTCCAGTGCAAACACTGTGGCAGGCTCGCGGAGCCATCCCTATGCCCACCACAGCCATGGGGCAGCCCAGCCTGGCACGGGCTCTGCTGGAGGCCACAGGCACCCAGCCACCCCATGCAGTGCTGGGAAGAGGTCTGACATGGAGCAGGTGTCTGCTGCCTCTTGCCTCCCCTGGAAAGGAAGCCGGAGATTCAGGGGAAGCCCAGCACTGCCACCCTGGGGCCACGCGCTCCCTGGCTGCGCTCTCCTGCGGGGCCAAACCAAGCGCAGGAGCCGGTCGGGCAAGGTCTGTCTGCACCCTGCCCTACCCCTGCCAGGCTCCTGGCGCCTGGACCCCCTGGGTTGTTCCCAGCTGCTGGGGGCTGCCCACTCCCCACCCCTGGCCTTGCTGGGCCCATCCAGGCTGCAGGCCCCAGAGTCCATCCATGGCTTGACCAGGAGCCATGGCTTGACTGGGGCTGGGAGACCCTGGGCTGAAGGAGGGCAGAGCACCGCTGGGCTGGGCTGAGCTGGCTGCTGGTTTCCAGTCTGGTTCCTGGGGGCACAGGGTCCATGGCACTACCTGGGCCCTAGGGCCTTTCCAGCAGAGGGGAAGGATCCTGCAAGCACCAGGCTTTCCCACCCTGCCTGGGTGAGGCCTGGCCAGGGGCAGGGGCAGGGGAGGGGAGCAGAGTGACTCAGCCCAGTCCCGTGGTGGTGGTTATCTGCGCGCTTTGTTCTCCAAGGCTGATGAGCCAAGGCTGGCCTCTGTACCCTGCCCCCCAGCCCAGGCTGGACCTGCCAGGGGGAACGGGCCCTGCCAAACCACGTGTGGGCAGCCACGGGGGTTCAGGCACCACGGGCTGTGCTGGGGCTGCGGCCCTGGCATCCCCCGGGGGAGCCCAGGAGCTCGGTGTGTGGGTGCCAGGGCAGTGTGTGCCCTCCTGGCCTGCAGGGTGGGAGCAGGATCTGGCCCGGTGCAGCAGCCCGTGGTGTTGTTTCGCTAAATCCCCCGGCTAATCCCGGGGATCCGGCTGTCTCCGCGCGGCCGTGCCGATGCCCTGGGCACTTCCGCTGTCTGAGCCCCCAGCACCACGGCTGCAGGGACGCGTGGCCTGGGTCCAGCCGAGCTTAGGGGGGGCCTGCCAGGGGCCTGGCCCAGCCCGACCCTCTGCCTCTTGGGAGGAGGAACCGCCACCCTGAGCCCCTGCTGGCACCAACCAAGGGCCCACATCTCCAGATGGGAAGCACCGGTGCGGGGGGCCAGGGCTCGCTCGGGGGGTGGCACTGCCTCCTCCGGAGCTGCAGCTCTGCACGATGCCGGCGACCGAGCCCGTGTGTGCGCGTGCACCGGCCTCCCACACCATGCACACGCGTGTGGGGTTGGGCGGCGTGGATGCCCGATTACCGTATTTACCCGAATGTAAGACGAGGGGGGGTTCCC